GGAATACCGCCCAGGGCGAAAGAATGTGGCTGATCCATTCTCTCGCATTCCTCCATCGCCCGATGAGCAGGAGGCTAAGAGGAAAAGTCAACTAGTTGTATGTGGCTTAAGAGTAAAGCATAAGCGGGGCAGCCAAAAAGAGGCAACTGAAACGGTAGAGGCCAAAGATCTAGCCTCCAGGATCCGTCAGGACTATGGCGAGGATCCCCAGCTTGCGTCTGTTAGACAGCAGCAAGATATGCGCTGTACAGACGGGTTGTGGCTGCGAGGCACTCAGGTGTATATCCCTGAGTCGCCCAGTCTGCGGACTGAGATCTGCCAGTTGGCTCATGACCATCCAAGTGCAGGGCACTTTGGTCAAGCCAAGACCCTGGACTTGGTCCAGCGGCATTATTGGTGGCCAGGAATGCGACGAGAAGTACACCAGTACGTCGATACTTGCCTGGTTTGTCAACAGGTTAAGTACCCTCGTCATAAGACCCCAGGCTTATTACAGTCACTGGGCATTCCTGAGGAGCCATGGACGGAGTTGTCCATGGACTTCATTACACAACTGCCAAAAACTAAGGGAGGTCATGATGCTATCGTCGTGTTCGTCGATAGACTGACCAAAATGGTCCGCCTTGCAGCTACGACCACCGAGCTCTCCGCAGAAGGAGCAGCTGACCTGTTGGTGTAGAATGTGATAAGGCACCACGGCCTCCCCTCTCAGATAGTGTCCGACAGAGAAGTTCGGTTCACTTCCAGGTTTTACCGGTACCTGGCCGAAAGGTGGAAGATCCAGCTCAACATGAGCACTGCGTACCATCCACAGACGGATGGCCAGACCGAAGTCATGAATCGGGTTCTGGAGGATTACTTACGCAGTTATATGCGTTCTGACCATGACGCGTGGGATGAACTGTTAGCCATGGCCGAGTTTGCAATGAACAACTCGAAAAACAGTTCCACCCAAGAAACCCCGTTCTATCTGAATTACGGGAGGCACCCAAAGAGTCCCTTAGCTCTTGGTGTGCAAATTCGGAAGCCATTAAAGGGCTATGACAATCCGAATGCCCGCGGCTTGGCAGTGGCCATTGAAAGGGCGCAGCAGCCTTATTTGAGGCAGTCTGGTACACCCCTCGTGGAGGGATTACCAGCAGTGACACGATTTGATCACCGTGTCCAATCAGCGCTGAAAGAGGCCAGGGCGTGCTTAGAGAAAGCACGAGATAGGCAGTCAAAGCATGCTGACCGCCATCGAAGAGAGGTGTCGTTTAGTAAAGGAGATGGCGTCCTCCTTTCGACACAGCATATTACTCTCAAACACCCTGGGACTCGAAAACTATTACCGAGGTGGATTGGGCCCTTCACCATCCTCGACCGGATAGGTTCTATCGCATATCGACTAGAACTCCCGGAAAGCATGCATAGGATACATCCAGTATTTCATGTATCGAAGATTAAGCCTTATAAGGCAAGTGGCAGAGTACAGCCACCCCCAGTACCTATCGAGATCGAAGGTGAACTGGAGTATGAAGTTGAACGTATCCTTGATAAAAGGATTAAAAAGCGTGGGAGACGCAAAAACTATGTTGAGTACCTTGTCAAATGGCTAGGATATGGACATGAGCATAATAGCTGGGAATCAGCAAAGTCAGTTGCAAATGCACAGGAATTAGTTCAAGCATTTGAAAATGGCAGAACACCTGTGATGCGAATGCAAACTGCATGAAGTACGGGATGTACATACTGAAACATGCTCATGTGTGCTTATGCTTTTGACAGGTTCTCTTGTGCTGGGCCCAGAAAAACACTGGGTATACTGCCCCCCGTGCAAGGTCGCAGTTTGGACACATGAACGCCATGTCCGTCGCGATCCTCAACGGGGAGAGGTTGGAGACCGCCGACCCCTACGTGCCATTTCCCCGTGCGCCTGAGCGTGCACGCGGACGTGGGCGACGGCGGGGTGCCGCACCGGGCCGATCTGTACCGGCGTGGGCTTTTGGTGGTACTCGGCATCGCGGTCGCCGATGAAAGGCCGGGAGGTCAAACATTTCCAGCCACTTGGCTGAGGAAGAGTTTTAATGAGGGTTGTAAAGGCCGGGACGGTCATGTAAAACAACCACTCTTTCTCTTCATCCAAAACTGTTTTGTGTGTTGTGTTTTGTTAACTGGGCATGTGGCAAATCGCACAGCCAGTTCCACCAACATACATACAATGTTTCTGCTCCCGTATCCACTTATACTGGGACGAGGACGCCCCTCTCCCTGAGGGGGACGAATGTTACGCGCACCAGCCTGATGTGGGAGACGTCCTACTAATGGCCCTTGGTGTGGGGGACGCCCTGCCCAAGGCACGTACTATTCCTCACCCACTGTAACCTTTATCCATATTAGGATACGGGAGTAGGAGGGGTGGTCCCGCCTAGGTGCCCTGTAAGGACCTAGGTGCCCGGCGAGGCGGGTCCGCGGCTCAAAGAGGGCAGGAACCCCACACCCACATCCTATTCGTAACAGATGATTAAGGCAAAAGGTGAGTTTGTGTGGTGAACACGTTGTACATTGAATGGGATTTCCTGGGTGTTGAACAAAAATGAAAAAAATATTCAGAATAAGGGGGGGAGTGTGGAAATTTTATGAGTGCGAAGATGGTACTACCCTGTACCCTGCATGTAGATAAACAGGGAGCCAAGGTTAAGAGGGTATTTGTTGTACACAAAGTGCTTGATCCAATCTTGCAACATCTTGTGACATCCAGAGTGGTCGGTGCCTGAGAGTTGATGGGAAGCACTTGGGTATCTTGAACTCAGTGGAAGTGTCAAGCGCTTACGATACTGTGATCCAGTATGGGACATTTAGGTTGCTTACCCTGGCAGTAATGGCATTCGGCCTTGGCGATCCTGACAGTTTCAGGATTACCGTGACATCCGGAGTACTGTTTGGGACCTCTGCCGAATGCACGCACATACACAACAGGTAAGGAACAAGGTGTCCTGCCAGCCTGGATGCACTGTCGGAGGTGGTCATTATCCAGGGTCTGCACCTGTGCAACCAAGCTTGTCCATTGCCTGTCCAATTAATACTTGCACTTGACCCATTGATGGACGCACAAGCTGTGTGTGAACGTGTGGTCATGCGTCACTCGTGGTGTGAATAACATGAATAACAGCGAATTTGAGACATGACAAATGTCCCTGATCAGGAAGTGTCGTCAGCATGGAGTTCTGATTGACCGGCGACACCAATACGCGAATCATCCCTGTGCGACCGCTAAAAAGAAGTTGGATAGCCATGTGATTAGCCCCAACAGAAATTGGTTGTTCTGTTCCCAACCTGCAGAAGTCTAGAAACGATAGTACACAAAATTGCTGCTCCAAGAAGCTAAACTATATCATCACCTCATGCTTCGCAGCATCAACACAATCGCCCTATCTTGGGCCCACACGGGGTGAATCAATTCTCTAATGCCCGCCGTCTGCCTCTAAGAAGCACAACGCCACAATGAGCGCTATATGTCCAAAAGTATATGGTCATTTCATACAGTCACGTCATTGAAGATTGTGACGTTCCCAGTGCCCGGTATCCCAGCTTTTGTATTATTTACGCATTCCTAAATGGTCGTAGCCCTGCATAATCCCAATTCCCACATCCCATTGAGCAGCCCCCAGATTGCAGGCTATCTTCAGCTTCGTTCAATCGAATGCGTGCACACAAGGAGCCACGCCATTTTCCGCAATGTTCTGGACCAAAATTTGGCAAACATGTTGTGCGTATTGCGCCACTTGGGCATTGCTGCACTCGTCTAAGCATTCCTATTTCTCCTCCTCGCCCACCACTCCTTCAATGGCTCCCAGGCCTCTGTCGCAATGCCAGAGATCAGACCAAATTTCTCGAAGAAGCTCACCAGGAACGCAACGCCTTGAATGACCGCCATGCAGACACCAATGGCGTCACGCCTCCACTTGGTGTCCATGGCGGGTATGAAAAGGATGAGAGTCAATGTGAAAGAGGCCATGTCTGCGAACTCTGCCACCAGGGCGACCGCCAGGTCTTTCCTGACCAGGTTGGGACGAGTGACTCTCAGGAACACGAAGAAAGACGTGGATGCGAGGAGAAGGACAACCTGCACATGCAAGCAACCTATCTTTTGCTTGGCACTGTGTGGCACACCAAAAAGCGCTTGCGCAGCGGTGCACAGCAGTTGTATGGGTCGTCTCTATGATCTGGTAATGTTCGTTGTTCTGGGTAGTCACCTCCCATCTGCTGCACAACATCTTTGTGTAGCAGTGTAAGAGAGATCAACTTCTGCCATTGAACAGCATGGTGAAATCATACAGTTCTCAACTTGCAATCTGCCAATATCTCGCTATGCTGAAAATTATGCAGATGGTCACATGTATGTTGACTGTCTGCCTCGTTAGACCAACAAATGATGTTTTCTTAACGATCTGAATAACAATGTGACCACCTGGGTGTGGGGGCTTAACAAAGTTGACAAAATGTTGCAAGGCGACAATTTGCCAAACCTTGTGCAGAGCGACGAGTGGTTTAGCACACGCCGCACATGTGCTTTGGCGACTTGCACCAGAATTCGGAAGCTTGATGGCTGCGACATTTGGAATATAATTTGAGGCATAAATCGCCGTTTTAACACTAACAACAAATACATCCTGCATGACACCTCCATTCACTGAGTGCACTGAGTGCCACAATTTTCCAATGCAAGGTCAACTTTCTGAAGATTCTCTTGCATCGTGCAAAGAGCCTCAGGGTGTTCTCAATGAATGAGAATGCTCAATATATGGCCTGTCCATATTGCCGAAACAACGGTTGGTCCCAAAGGCGTGGGTGATGATGGTGGGGGCAGGCACTCACCACTTGAGCCAAGCTGTCATGATCCTCTTCCCCGTGGACATACACACCGATGAAGGCCGTTTTCATCAGAGACAAGACGCCTGTGGCTAGCCGTATGCGACCTTCCCTGAAATTCTGGGGAGTCATGCTTCTAAACAACAGCCTTTTAGCTGACGTGCCATTGTTGGTGGCAGGAAGATCAGAGCTACCAGCCGCAGAAATTGAACAATTTAGTTACTGGAAAAACTTCCAAGCCAATCGCTGCAACTGTTGCCAAGCATGTGGCAGAGCACTACCCTTTTTATGCTTTGTTTCTTAATATTTTCCATGGACATAGACCAGGCCTTTGCAGCTAAACGTGACAACTTCCTTTGCAACCTGCAAGGGGAGAATGGCCGTACTTCCCCTCGCAATGCTTGTCTCAGCAATGGCAGAGAAGCAGGAAATGAAAACAACTTGAACACTACAGCAGGGTTGGAAGCTTGGTCCCCCAAAAAACCTTGTACATTGATCCACAGTCCTTTGCAACGTTTTCAAGTTGTTTTTGGGGTCCATGCCTGATGTTTGCTTGTGATCTCATTTGCTAAACAGCAGGCCATCGGCCGTCCATTGACATTAGCAACTTGCAATACATGACAGAACACCGTATTGCAACAAGGGCACATCATAAAGAGCCCTTATGGGAGACTTCTTCAAACAACCAAAGTTGCTGCAAGAGTCCACAAATGCAGCAGGAACAACATGCACAGGGCACTGGATAATGGAAACTTAGTACTCTTTTCTCATGCTATCTATTCTCATTGTATCACGCCAAGGTGTGAGTGTCACCAATGAGAATAGCCGTCTGTTTCCAATATGCCATATCTAGAGCTTCCCAAGAGCAGAGACTTCTTTACGCCCACTCACGTGTACATGGTTCCTCGATAGTCTTCAAACATGGGACCATAGCGATCCACGAAATGGGGGTCTACATCAGGGTTGGAAACCCAAGTCGCCTCATCTTCCTTGCGCCCAAAGATAGGGTCCATAACATATTCTTCGAACAAAGAACAACAGGTGGTTGCCACCCGCTTGGGTGCACTCAGATCACCGGGCTTCGTTCCAACACTACCACCATCTTCTTCATCCTCCAATTTGGTCAATCTTCCTCCCCTTTCGTCTGGATGCGCGAGAAAATTTTTCCAAAGTGTGTGCATCAACCAGGCGATGTAGGTACAGGGTATCAGAGCAAAGACGAAAACCCCAATCACAACATCACCTGCTGCACAGCAGCAAGCATTGGCCGATCTCTTAATCGTTTAGTGTTGCTTTAATCACGAAGTTTACCTGAGCCAACTGAATGACTATAAGAACTGTTTGTGCAGCAGCATGCTGAAGTGAACTAATCCTACTACACAGCTTGATCATTTTCGCGCAGTGAGAAGCCAACCGTATGCCCATGGACCACGTTTTGCAATTATTAAGAAAACAAAAGCTCACACTGTCACCACATATTTAAATTTCCCGATATTAGCATCAGTAGACAGAGAATCCCAAATGAAGCCAAACGAGGCATTGGGCACAGATATGGATTTATGGATACTAACATGGTTTGGACCCTGCTCCAAGAGGTGGGGGGAGATATTCTGGCAATTAATCCAAAGAAGTGCAAACCTACCTGGATGCAACAACGAATGCACTGCGAAAACAACATCATTAGCAAGAAACCTCAATAGTCACTGACTTCACTACCTTGCAAAATTTCGCATTGTCATTCACAGCACTACCATCGCAAAAAAATGTCCCCAAGTGCTTCTAACCAGCTTGCAACTCCTCAACAACAGAACCGCCGCCGATCAGAGAATTCAACAAAATGTGCAAATGCCAGCAATCGCCAACCAACCAGCCATCAAACGCCTGCAGTTGTGGTACCACAAGGCCAGCAACCTTACATTAGATATTAACATCGGGTCATATGTACCACCTCTGTTCCAAAAGTCGTGTCCGAATTCAAATCTGCCCAAACGGAGGTCAAAATGTGTGAGCCAGAAAATTGACGAAAGTAACTGCGATGCGCCATATCAAGAGCTACCTGTAGAGCCCTAAACGTGGCAAACAGTGCTGCGATTCTTGCGATATGCAAATAGGAGCTCAAATGCAGGTGCTCATTTTGTCAGGACCTGGGGTGGGGCATGGTGAGCTTCTCTTACCCTTCAAAGGTGGGTGGATCGAGCTGAGCTATCACCAGAAGTGAGGTACGATTTGGTGTTTTGGTCTGCCCTACAGATGTGGTTCAATTCCGAGCAGAATCCTTGAGGAAAGGGATTGAAATTCAGTACAACATTTAGGCTTCAACAAGAAACGAGTGAATGTTGTGCCCAAACACCAGCAGACGCCTCGATTGTTGCAAAAACATGTACCTAGTAGACGTGCCAAGTTTCGGAAAGTCATACATATTGACGCCAACCAAAACGATGCCCTAGATTGATATAAACACGGGCAATGGGTCGAAAACAGAATTTTGAAAACGTGATTCAGCACACTGAAATATGATGTACAAAAATCATGATAGCAATGGTACCGAAACTCTTGAAAGTGTGTAGCAGTGCCTATTTGTTGTCTGCAACAAAATTCTTCATGAATTTTGGTGAAATGGATTGGGAGATACTGGAATAAGGCCAAAGCAACAATTCGGGGAGCTGAGGTCCTGCACAGAACTGGAACAGACTCTTTTGAGTATGCCATGAATGTCGTGTTTTGTGGTGAGGACTTATGTAATCAAGATCCGTTATCAACCTAACATCAACCGAGGAACTCTAATCTGCTGATCTGTTGATCTTGCATTTTTACAACAAGATTTGAATTCAGACACGACTTTTGGAATGGAGATAGTACTAACATGGTTTGTACCCCTGAAAGGGGTTTAGCTACTAATGCCAGGTAAAATAGGTCACATCTATCCAAGGCTTCTGCAAATGCAGACACTGGCATCTGAAAATCGACCAAGTGATATCACAAGCGAGCAGACTATACTATTCACACACAAGAGCCACATCTGGATGGCCCCAACTGGCATTGCACTTATGAATAATTCTGCAGGCAACAGCAAGTGCTCTTCTCCCCTACCACTGCTCGATGTCATCAAAATCCCACTGGCAGCAGCGATGGCTGGTATTGCCCAGTCCCCTGCATACAGCTCCAATCTGGGGGCCACGAGGATCCCTGGAATCGGCTGCTTGCGCCAATGCAACACCCAGTAAGGCAAGGCATGAAAAACCACCAGCGCCGCCAGCAGCACAGCAACCCAAAAGAAGGTACGCTGGACTTCATCATGGGGATCATCTTTGGATGGATCCTCAGACACCTGTGCAGGTGCGGCATCCATTGAGCTTTGCAATAAATACTTTGCAAACTTTGTTGCAACATGCACTGTCGCACTTTCCGTGTGGCATGCTGCCAACCACACTGACCTTGGGGCACACATGGACAACCGCATCGGGCTGGAGACTTCAGGTACTGACACTTTGCAGCATTTCATGTGAAGGTCCCTCACAATAAATTGCATAGAAATGGGAACTTTCCATAGGGAAGCGTTTTGGCATATTTCAGTGCAACTGTCCACGCATCCTTTTCTACATGATATGCAGTATTCAAGAGTGACCTTCAGAATGACCCTTGCAAGCATTGGTGTTCATCACACACATGTGGTTTGCCTGCCTTTCGATTCTGTATGAATTCTGTATGTTATGTGGACACTGCACGCAAGAGGACAATAAGACCTTTCGGATCGAGCTAATGGAGGAAAAAAGACAATTGCGGCTACAAAGCACAAAGCAACGCTATGGAATCAAATGGTGCACCACCCACAAACAGTGGCTGCCGGTGAGCTGAAAGAACACTCTGCCCGCACACACAGTGGCTGAAAAGGCATATGTGAACACCTGGCAAGAGCAGAAGCAGTGCTTCATCATCAGGACCAGGTCATGAAGCAGATCCTTCTGACCAGAGACTGCCAGAAATTCCTCGGATGCATGTGATCAAGTACAAAATGCAATGAAAATTGCAAAAACATGGATCTGATATCTTCATTTGTCTTGCCTTTTTCCAAAAGCACTTCTTGTCTTGCTGTTTATATCCCAATGCATGCATCCAACAGGTTTTTTCATGGAAAGCACAGATTTGTGAAGAATCCCCTGCTGAGTCATGTAACAGTGCACCAGGTTGATTGACACTATTTATCCTGAAGGCATGCCAAAGGCAAATCCTGAACTGCATGCAGCATTGCATACATGCTGACATACTTCACAGAACCACATGTGCACTTTTATAGTGACAATTATAAAATTGCTGTCAACATGATAGTGCATAAAGGCACCCTTTCCAGCACACATTACTCAGTCCCTTGGCAGCAGCAGGGACTATAGCCTGTTGAAAATTACATCAGTCGATCGATATTATTAACACCATAGGTCCAACACTGCTCACATCAATCGATCTCAATGAGGTTGTTGTCATGTTGGTCTCTTGTGAGGCATTGTTCACTGCCTGCTGCAACAGTCTTCTGTTCGATCCTGTCAGACCACTTGCATTCGTCGACAGCATTTGGGAACCAGGTTGTAGGGTGGACACCTGAAGCATCAATGCTGGGTCTCAATGCAGAAGCATTTGGAACCCCACTGCAAAACTGTAACTTGCCATCACAGCATTCAGTGTACATGGCAAACTCCCAGCCCTCCAGGGACTAGGGGAGCAATCTGTGCAAGCAATGCAGTTAGCCTGTGCTGCTGCAAAAGCCAACACAGAGCATGAAGCCATTGGCCTAGTCATAGGCAGCCCATGAAAACACACCTTCGAGTGAGCATGCAGTCAGCAACCAATTTGCCACCCAAAGACAACGTTCAGCAACTGCACTGTCAGTAAAGCACTGTGGTGATGCAAACATCAGTAAACTGCACAGATGTTAAGGAAAAGTGTTGTGCTATGCAGGCATGCATACAACACATCTGTGCAAGGCGATCACCGGGTGCAGAAAGCATGCACCCAAAGATGTCACTACAGGATGATTCTCAAACACGTATGCGCAGTGTAGCACAAATCAGATTCTGCCGCTTCTGCCTTTGGCCATCTCATTTATTACTAGGTAATTGTCACCAATGTGGATAGTTCCCACGCAATCCAACAAGCAAGTGCAATTTATTTATAAATAGCCAAGTACCTCATGGTCGTCTCCTGACTCCCATGGGAGCTTTGAGCTGAATGCCGTCCACTTAAGGTTCGATGCCATGGCCCTATAGTTTCCTGGGAGGCGCCTGGGGACCATGAGGCTTGTGAAGTAGAATTTCTGCCCCATGGACAGGAGTGCCAGTCCTGCACCCAGCGCACAGTCCGACCCACCATGCTTGCGATTCCCTGCATTGCAGCATCCAGCAGGTGCCACAAAAGCCTTTGATCAGCGCCAACTGCATCTATGTGAGATCGTCCACATGTCAGGGCCCTCACAAGGATCACCTGGCCCAAGTTGAACACCCATTGCCAAAAGGGTTGGCAGGTGTCGTGGCATGGGGTGGGGTGGCAGTGTGCTGGAATAGCCACCTGAGCAACTTGCAAGTTGTTGGACAAGAAGTTCGCAGCAAGATGGTCCCATATGCCTTTTACCCTCAATTCTACGACTCAAGGAAGCAGTGGGTGACCACTGCCCCCAACACTATCAGCTTACCTTGCCGTGGGAAAGCAGCAGTCAAGGCTGTTACCCCGGCAGATGCAACTGCTGCAGTTGCAACGACTGCTGTCACCGCCTTGCCTGCATTGTCCGCAGATGGATACAATTCCTCGACGTCAGCCTCCCTTGTGCGACGAACATTTGTAGGAAAAGAGAAACTCAGCCCAACAGTCTGTCCATCCTGGATGCCCTGATTGATTGTATCCACTGCCTGGTGGTTCTTCCGCCCAGAGAAATCTGCATAGCTTTGTGTATTAATGGTGACTCTGGCACTGGCTCTCTGTTCCTCGTCAACAAAACCTGTCAGCACAGCTGTTCTCCCAATTTCTATCCATGACACATCCCAATCCTTGAGACCACTGACTTTCACCATTCTTGCATCGAATTCCTGGTTGGTGTCCTGGCCTAGATTCTTGCAGGCAGTCGATGCGTTCAAGAGATCGCTGATGTTGATGGCTGCAGGGAGAGATGCCATGTCTGCATCACACGACACATTCCTCAAAGGAACAATTCTCTCGCTGAAGTCGATGTACACTGTTGCATTTGGAGGAAGCTGTGGAGCAATTCTGGTGGTGGCATGAGGTCGGCCGCTTCCCCTGTGCCCAGCGATGGTCACTGTACGGCTGAGATTCCCAAAGACTGCTGTGACTTTAACCTGCCCAAAGAACCGATCCCCCAATGTGCCTCTACTTCGATTCATTGCAACACTCACAGAAGCGATGGCATCGCTCTCCTGTCTTGAGCCACCTTGCAGACAGCCATTGCGTTGTGTGCCGTTGAGCACAGTTAAGACATTCAGGTTTTGCATCACTAGATTGCCGTTGAAGCCTTCTACAAATGGGATCCCCTGTGCGGAACATAACACTCTCAATCCCAACTTTTGTGTAATTTTCATCATGATCTTGGAGATTCTGCATCAGATTGTGTAGTATGGAGACTACATGTGACCAATGATTGGGGGGCGATGACCATTGTATGACAGCATTTCGTAGTTGTAGCAGCTCGAACCTCCAATGGAATCGCAGCGTTTCCTTTGTCTATAGGACAGCACTGCGAGCCGTTTGAATGTTTTGAAAGTGACACAGGGGTGTGCCAAAACGCCAAGCGAGGCCAAGGGACAAGGGACAGCCAAGAAACCCAAGAAAATAGGATCTGGGAACTGGCTGCAATGCAACATGCATGGGATGAAAATTCAAAAACTAGCCATTCAAGCATTCAAGAGGTTTCCTGCCTTGGCTCAGAATGAAATGCTCCCTAACTGAGCAGTTGACAAAGAACTTGATTGGAATGTAAACAGGAGGTCATCCAGAGCCCATACTATCATAGCACCAAAACGCACAGTGATTGCTTTAGCTGGCATATTACAACACCGAAAATGGATCCACAAAACTTGACCAAGTGCAACTGTCCCTATCAGCTGCCATCCTGCACTGCTCAATGCTGAAAATGTAACAAAGTACCTGGAAACACACTATGTAAGAGTGACAAATAATTAGGTCAGGACTAGCTGCAAGCTCAACATATAGCAGATGTACAATGTGCTGCATCTGTAGAATACTGGCAGCACAAGCAGCTCATCTGCCTCAATGTTTCAAGCGTACCTCAAACGTTGGCTGTGCTGTCAATGTTGCCAGGGAGCCATTGTCGTGCACTAAAGAGAACAAGAGCTCCAACCTGCTTTTGTGCGTGTGGATGATGACGTTTTCTGAACAGGTCTGGTTGGCAAACCAAGTCTTGTCTGCTTCATCATTTACGCACGGGAAAAGGTGAAAGGCACCTTGTGAAGGTGTGAGGATCCCAGATTTCTGTGGAAAACAAAAGGTGCCAGTTAGAAGAACGTGTCATTTCCTCCGTCATCAGCAAAGCCACAAAAGGCAGCAGAACAAGGAAGCACGTTGTAAAATATTCAGCCCTTCCGCACCAGGAAAACTTCACCATTACGCTTTTGCTTCGCATTTTTGCTTCCAGAGTGGTATTTTATATTTTATGTTGCCCCGCAAGGAAAAGCCAAGCGTTGTGTCACCGTTTATTAAATTTTCTCAACACAAAACCCAAGCATTATGTCACTATGGGGAAGGGTTGATAGTTTATGTTATGCCCAATTTAGTGCAGTTTGCAGCGCAGGTGGCGCCCAAAACTCATTTAATCTGCTGCATGCATTCTGCACAATAATGCCAGTGTGCTTCACTCCTCCTTCATGGGTGCCAAAGTTGCCAAATTAGTTCTCTACGATGTCCCTGAGCATCTTGTTTTTATTGGCAAATTGTTTTACAAATATGTGGACACGCATGTGATGCCATTCCACCAGTTTGAAATGTCTGTGTAAATGCTCATTATTCTAAGCATGAATGGAAAACTGAAAGGGCAGGGACTTGGCAGGATGGCCGGACTCACCCCATCATAAACGGTGGCATCACCATCACACCAGGATGGGTAGAAGACAGGCACCAGTCCATTTGCGTTGGTGAACTGAACGAGCACAATCTGCAACGAAAACAAGGCTGGCAACATTGGAAGATCTTGAGCAAAATATGCGCAAAGCACATACAAAGGACACCTGTGGAGTGAAGGCCTGCAGCCACAAAGGGAGCAGAGCTTTCTGCCGCCAGCAAATCTTCGAGCCAGGCCCACTTTTACAATGAACTGGGATCTGGTCCCACACACTCATGTGCATTATGTTGGACAACAATGGCAAAAGACAATTTCTCCAATTGTAGATTAGGGCACAATGCACTTCGTTAATATTTCTATGAAGAACGTTCGTGGACATTTGGGCACTGTGTAGCTGCATAAAGAAATTGGAAACCATTTAGAGAAAATGCCTACAATTTTCAAAGGTGAACTAGTCGTGTAATTACTATCATAGTAATTAATGATGATCATTAAGAAAGACATGCAGTTCCTTGCTTTATTTTCATTGTCGACACAAGCACTGAGGAGAAGAAGTGCAAGTAGTGTGCTCCAGTAGGGTGGACTTTCTGAGGCAATACAATAAACAGAACTGCTCACCAACGCGATGAAGGAAGATCTCCAGAACCGATTCGCAGCCCCCTTCATAGATTATAACAAGCAACAGCCGACCAGTCAGTCACAAAACAGTTCAATCCACAACCAAAATGTAAGCACCAAAAATGTTTGTTTGCATTGCATGATCACAAGCACGTGGGCCCTGAAACACTGAGGCAACATAATCAGTCTATGATCCAGGACAATGCCATAGCACGATCCTTGAAGCTACAGCCACCTTTGCAGCTTGCTATGCTTTATTTTGCGCTGTCCATGAGCGAATTCACACCACGTAAGTGGTGCAAGCACGTACGGGCAGTCGGCGTTCGCCACATCCAGTGCGACAAAAGGACTGCGAAAGCAAGTAGCACGCTGTATCAAGCGAGACTCAGACGACAACGCTGACTCAGCGCTGTCTGCAATCCGCGATAGGAGACTGGCAGGCATTGCAACCCCGCCGAAAATACCGACTGCTTGCCACAAAACACAAACATCCCAGAAGTTCCCCAGACTTCCACTCCACAACGCCTGACTTATTGCAAACGATCAGATTGCTACTTTGCGGGAACCAGGTGTTCATGTAGGCAGCAAAACTCGCGTGCAAGGGCGCGGTCCAAAGCGATGGCCTGAATTTGACCCCACAGTGCCCGCTGGCCGCGGCTGCGACTACACCAGGGGCGAACGAGGGCAAACGACAGGTAGGCCGAGCCCAGGAAGACGGAAACGGCGCTTTCAGCTCCATAAGGATCGCCACCGCGCTCGAAACCCGGGAGCGGCACCCGTCACCGAGACCGCCAAGCAACCAGGGATGCGTGATCGGAAAGCAAACGCTTCCAGAGCGGAGTGGCACATGCATGGGGAAATCTGCCCTCGAATAGAATCACATTCTTAGTAATGATAGCGGAGGTCCCGCCGCACAACACTGGAACCTGCGACCGCCAAAATCTGTGTACTGCGGCACGGCTGGGCCGCTGCAAGATTTTGATATGGCCGCCAACAGGACAGCCTCACCGCCTCGAGGCGGCGCAGCTACTGGCTCCTTTTCACACACAGACGTCTCCAGGGACTGGCTTCGGCCAATCGAGGTCGCCCAAGTTGAGAATCGCAAACCGTGGTGGGTGCCGGCGTGGGTGCGATTGTCACCTTGCCACGCGTCTGCGCCACGTCCGACTCGCCAAGGCGGCAGCCTTTGGTCGTGGGCACGCGCGTCGCCATGGGACGCACGGTCGGGAGGACGGGACACGCGTCCAGGTCACCTGAGGATTCCATGCGAGAGGGTGTCAGCAGTTGAAGGCTTGCTGGAAAATAGCGACAAAACCCTCAGGGGGCGGCCGACCCGGGACCCGGCCCAGCAGAGGGCTGTCGTTGGAGGGGCCGCCCGACACAGCAGCTTCGAACATGTTCGCCCGGTGTAGCTTTTTCAAATACTCGAGGGCGGCGCTTTGCCCGCTGCTTTGCTGGCTGTGGCTGTTCGGCGCCCACAACCAGCAGTACGACGCCAGCGTCGATCCGGGACGGTCGGCTTGACGCCGCGGCTCCCGGGGCTCGTACACGTGCCGCGGGGATGGGTGGCAAACCGGCAGTCGGCGTCAAAGCCGCACCAAAACCAAGGCACTGCAGGGAATGGCAATACGTTTTATATATATACGTGCACGGAGCGGCAGCTTGAAGAGGCCCATTCATCAACGCCAAAGCTACGAAGGCTGGATCTACCCAGCTGGGTACGAGCAGCACAGCTCAGCACTCTGGCATTGGCCACACAGCACGGCGTCACACGGAGGCAACCAAGATGGCAACGCTGTTGAGTGATCTCAAGCAGGGAAACAATCGAGCCCCTGAGCACCTGCGTCCGCCGGTCCGTCGTAAGGCCTGCTGCGATCGTCAGGCGACCCAAGGAAGCGCACAACCAATTGCCATCGTTCCTCGCTGGCGCCCTCTGGAGGAGCGGTACCTGAATGGAAGGCGGCCGGCCAGCCCAAGGGGCGGAAGCTGGCGGCGTGCCGTCCGGTCGACGGGCCGCCAGCCGAGGAGCAGGGTGTGCGCGCCTGCGGCTCGCTGGGCGGCTGCGCTGGCGTGGAATTGGCGACACCAAAAATGTGAGGTCGCTTTTCTCGGGCGCGAAGCACCCATCACAATGGCGAAAATCCTGACAGGGCCTCCCTGAAGCACCACGCGCACCGGGCCAAGTGGAGCTCGTGATGATTCGGCAGCGCGCAGTTTCCCAACTACAGGGCGCCCCGTACGGCACGCGGCCTGGGGAGCCCGGGGTCCGCGTCTGGGGCGGTTGCGAGCCTCTGGGTGAGACGGGCCCGAGGTGAGCTGGACGAAGGCGGATTCCAAGCCATACGTTCAAGGCCTCTCTTGGAACGATAAAAGGGTCCGCAACATCAGATCACTGCGATTACAGCCATGGGACCTGCGGCGCATGGCACGATGTTAAGCGATGTTCATTCAGGTACGATTTAGCACAGAATGGTGGAGCACGAGATGTCTCATCAGTATGCAGCAATCAGTCATTCAGTCAACGACTCTCCCGTATTGTCTGTTGATGGATGTTGGCTTGCGTGGTGGCTGTGACCGCTCCCTGGAGCGCACAAATCAAGCTCAGGTGTCAGTGACAACTCGTCACCACTTCATCGATGATTCCGACGGCAACAGCAAGAGGCATCAAAAGACAAACTGTTCGAATTGCTAGTAATTGACTGCTAAGCTGGCTCCGTCAATTACATATTCGCAATCCAATGATTTAAAGAAAATGATGGCATCTGAGAATTTCATTTTAGGGATGCCATTAACATTACAATTGAATGGCTGTCACTGTTTCTTGATGTCTTACTTGCAACTTTCCAGTTCACATGACTGGACGTCGGTGGTTAAACAACGATATGCAGTGAAATTGAATGAGAAAATTGAATACAGAAATGGGAGCTGAAAGTCTGACACACCAAGACAGATGCAGCTGCCATGTTGTGCAAGCAGCTGGTCATGTGCTGGCTGGCTGGTGCACACATTGACCCGATCGAGATGGCGGGAGGACGGCTGCCCAAGAATTAGCTTCAGTCTGCTAATTCTGGTGACCGTGAGTAGGTACCGTGGGTGGATGCTGTTGGTCGGTGGTGTGGGGTAGCGTGTTGTGCGTGTGTGAAGTGTGAATTCAGTCCGCCGTTCCGAGTGTGAGCCCTGGTGGGAGAAAAAAAGAGGCGCAATCTGGTATTTAAAGCTTCAAATCTCTTAAGAGAGCCCGAGTCTTGTTCCACTGGTAAATATTCGACCATTTTAAACGCTGTGTACTAATGTGAAATCGTGTTAAAAAGTCGGGTACTTTGGAGCACGATTCTACACAAGTGCTAAAATCGTGTAGTTGTCAGCCCTGTGTAGTACACAAAAGTGGCACACCTTGCCACCACGGACAGCACGATAAAGAACTCGGTGTTACATGGCTTCAACTGCGTTCCAGCGGCAGCCGTGTTCTTTGTGATCAATACGATTGGTACGCGATTTTTGCATCATTTTGCACGGGTTTTACACGCAGAACACGGTACACATTTTCAGGGCCGTGTACTTTGGCGGACTTTTTGCTAATGTTCGTGGCTTCTCATGGTTTGGCTGTTGTAAGACAAGCTGAGTCTTGGCTGCTTGTCTGAACAAGCACGGCGAGTGCGTTTGAGCACCGCATGCACCAAGGTTGCCACGGCACTCGAACCAAAAAGATTTGACTTCCGTTGCACTGTAGCCCATTGCCACGTGCATTCGATTGCGGCGATTGCGACGAGCGGGATCTCGAACCGGGATGGCTAAGGAACTCGGACACACACCCCGAAGGAGCTCAGGCTCATGCAGTTGTCCATCCCAGTTTACAATTTTTCGAGGGCTCCACATCAACACGAACGTTGTTTTCTCTTTTCTGCTATATCCTATCCGTCTGTACTTATTCCTGTGGCCCTCATAGACCACAACCGCCGATATGACAATGCGTCCATATGCCACCTCATCACACAAGCGCAACCAACGTACAATGCATGCCATAAATTTATGGAGGTGTAAACGTCCTTCCACTCGTGCCACAAATTTAAGGACGTTTAAACGTCCTCTCACTTAGAAACCCAGCACATGTATGGTTTAGTAGACCACATAATTTCTTATTGCTCAAATCATATGTATGCTCTTTTCTGCCCTTGTCACAAATTGCAAGGGCTGCTACATCGATGCATTCACTTAAGTACGAGTGTCAACCCCTTGATGGGAGAAAATTTCTCCCAGGTAGATAGCCCCTATCTTTTAACCTGCGTCCCACAAACGGATAATTTCGATGCACATAATAGCAGCTTGTAGGCTGCTTAGTTGCGCCTTTAACATTCGCGACTCCTCAGTTGCGCCCTAATCAGGGGCGTTGTCAGCGTATAAATATCTGTTTGCTTCAAACTTGAAGAGAGAGCTAGAGCGTTCCACGATAGCACGTGATTCCGCCTTTGCAGTACATTAGAAAGCGTCATGCCAACAACAAATTTGCCCAAGATTTTTCTTGTGTGGGTGCAAGCTATTCTGTGCTCGTCCCCCAAACCTATTCTTGCGCAAGCTTGCATGCTTGTTGAACATCGTCCCCCAACGACAATAGCTTATATCTGGCTGAAGTAATGGGGGCAGGAGTTAGCCTGGCTTGGACACAATATTGTCGCATTAGTGCGCTTTATCAGGAAAGCATCTTTATCAATGGGCTTGTTTAGTGCTATCCGTGGTGACCCTGCTGTACTGGAAATCTTACTTGCTTTTGTTACTCAACACCGCTCTGGATCAAGCCTTGTAGCCTGAAATGAGAATTTTGCATCATAATATGGTGACCATATGGTGCTGGCGGCGGCAGGACCATCGGCGGATCGGGTACAGCAGTGCATCTTTCACGTCTACATTTCAACCTCATCAAATCAATTCCAGTGACAGAACTTGCGCCCACCCATGAACCCTTTTTGATATCTGAATGTCAGCAGCTTTTGTCGTCTTCTCTCACCATCTGGGTATTTCTGTTGTCAGACAGCTCCCTGCGTACCAGGCAGGTGGGAATTGCGGCAGGGTGTGAATATTTCGAGAATAGAAACTGGCATGGAATTGTCATGGGGCAGGTGCCCCCTGCCTCACCCGACAGGGTATAAACAGCCAGAGTACTGGCATAAACACGCATTGGGACCCGATGCCTGTCACCAGCCTGGAAGATCCACGGTCAACATGCCCCCAATATGAGAATCTCGCTCGAAGCAGAATGACGTCACCTTCCTGCCTCACATATACAAATCTTCCCCATTCTCCATAATGTAGGCCACGACCGACCGCGCCAGAGCGCCGTCCTCCACCAAGCCCTCCGCTAGCTGCTCTCTCTCCCCCCCCTCCGCCCTCCACAGCGCCCACAGCCGCTCCCGGACCAATGTCGAGCTCACCGCCTCCGTCTCCTCATCAATGAACACAACGGGCTCGGCCTCCCCGTCGCCCACGTCCCCCTGCTTCCTTGCCCGTTGCAGGGCATCCCTCACCCTGGCCGTGTCGCCGGCGCGCCCCACCACCACCGTGCAGCAAACGCCCTTCCGCGGGGTCCACCGATGCTTCCGCCACCTGTCAGCGCCCCTCACTTCCGCGATCAGCACCTCGCCTCCGCACTCTGCCTGCAGCTGCGGCGCCATCGCCTTGCCGAGCATCACGGCGGAGCCCCACGTGCGGTCGCCTGGGCGCAGCCATTCTCGGTGCCCCACCATTGATGCCTCGCCAACTTCCCAAGATCGAGGATCGCTGTCGCACAGAAACTCACGACGGCCATTCCCAGCATCTGTGATCGAGCTGGATTGAGTCGCCGCCGTCGACATGGCCCGCTCGCCCACCCTCGCCTCTTGGTCTAGCTGGTCCTGCATCGCCAGGTTGCACATTTGCACGCGGTGCCGCCCGCACATCACTCTGCCTCCCGTCTCGCGGCACTTCGCCGCCACGTAGCCGTCGGGGGCTGCCGCCAGGAACGCCGCCACGACTTCACAGCCGCTGGCCTCCAGGCGGTCCCTCGCCATGCTCAGCGCGCGTATGTGCTGGGAGTGAACTGGGTTGAAGGCCCCGCCCAGAGCCAACAACAGCCGCCTTGGGGGCGCGCCTGTCGGCGAGTCGTCCATGGGCTCTGTCGCAGCCTCACTTCCCGCAGGCAGGGCGGGGGGGCCGTACTGATTGCTCACCACAGGTTCGCGGCGGCTTCGGACTGGGTTCCAGGCGGTGGCGCCATGTCACTTGATGGTGCGGTGAGATGGCCAAAGGATGCCGTCGATTGCTTTTTGGTTCCGCTGAACCTCGCAGGGCATCGTTTATATTGGGGGTTGTTTCCCAAAAGTTTGTGCGATTTAGCCTCCACCAGGCTGCATTTCCCCGGGACAAGTGGACGTGTGTGTGGCTCGGAATATCATGAAGAAAAGCTGACAAGATGGTTTAAATGTAGCAAAGCTCATGTATGATATGGGTGTGCATCATACCTGGCAACAAGTACAGGTTTGATGCTGTGTTGTGTTTGGCGGGGTTGCCTGGCTCTTGGACACCACCGTACAACCTAAAATCCCCCATGGTTTGGAACGCACGTTTGCAAGATGATTCTTAACACACGAACATGGCTCATGTTTCTGCCCACTGCGTTTGTATTACACATCAATCAAAATTGCAACTTTGGGCAAACCAGAAGGCTGGACAACAAAGCAGAGCATGTCTGCAATAGGGGAAGTGACGAAACCAGGCTCATGAAATATTTAACAGTCCCCAGGGCTCATGCCACACATGCTGTTCAATAGCGTCAGGCGGTCATAAACATGCACGCAAATGAGCATTTGCGCTGACCAGCGTCTTGTAGTTGGCATTGTTCTGTTTGTGCTCAGCTCAGATGATTTGGAAGCGCTGAACTAAGGCTCAAAACTTCACCATCATCAACGGGGATGGCCGATGGACAGGCGCCATGTGCATTGGTGTACAGTATGGGCCTCGTTCTGTAGTGAACCCTTCGTCCTTGTCAATGCCTCTGCCAACACAGCAATGCTGGAGCTCCCAAACCGCAATACCACTTTCAGCTGCTTGGGAAGTTTTGTCAGCACCAGACAAATGCAAGACACTTGCACAATACGAAGTAATTTTTTCTGCCAGAGTACCCTGGCAACATGCCCTGGTGGGTCCTGTCTTTTGCACAGTCTCACCCAAGCACCTGGCTCCCTTGATCCATTGGCAGCAGTGTGAGGTTTAAACCATTTGCCACACACATTTGCCAATGTAAACATGGTTTGCTGGCACGCAAGGATACCTTGCAGCTGTAAGAAGTCAGCCAGTCTCAGTACAATCACTGATGAATCCTCAGCCAGTTGACAGCGTGCCACAGCCAGGGCTCCCAAAGAACAATCGATCCTGGAGCAATGCTCCATGGATTGAAGGGAAGCTCGGAGCTTGTCATTTGGCATCTCTGCAGAGGCATGACATCTTTTTGAATCTGTTTATGCCTCCAACATGAAGCACACATGGGAGCAGCGCCCAGCAGCACATCTACTCCCATGTCCCAACTGCCTTGTTATATACCATTTCAGTATTTTACAGAAAGAGAACGTTCGAAAGATGCGCCGTGCCATTGACTGGCCGGCACTTTTCATTGTCTTGGACATGAGAACACCTAAGAATTTATATGTTCAATGCACGCCCGTTCACGACCCTCCATGCTTTCCCACAACATCCATCTTCCTACCCACCACACCTCATGCCACAGACACCCCTTGCCGGCACCTCCAGATCGTCAAAACTTATGGCCGGCAGCTCTCCCACGCGCCGCCCGCAGTCCAAACCTCATGGACCGAGGCCGAATCTAGGGGCGCCTCGAATCATCGCCCAGGAGAAGCGGAGCTTAACCAGACCCAACTCAAGTCCCCCGCCCTGCCCGAGGCAGGGCGCCCGTCAAACCTCGCGTGAAAAGCCCCTCTTTCTCCAAAGCGCACCGACCGGCCCCATCGCGGGGTCCGCCGCATGGACCACAGTCCCGCGGTGGGACGCGCGTCCAGCCAAGCGTCTCCACGGCCATTGGCCCGGACTGCCTCGGATGTGCACGAAGGCGCCGGCAGCCAGCCCCGTATAATTCCGCCCAGCGCGAGCGCGCTACGCCCTCAGCTCCCAGGGCTCCATCCCCAGCGTCTCAACTCCCCCGAGGCCGCACAGCCATATGACGAACGGCACGGCGTGCGTCCACGCCGCGCACCACAGCGAGCCCGTGGACAGGTACACCAGTGTGCACGCGGTGCCCAGCAGACTGACAAGCACCAGGAACCGCCTGTCCCTGAACACGTGCCGCGGCTGGTGCAGGGGGGACAGGTGGTAGCCCACGAACAGAAGGATGGACGAAGCCACCCAGAACAGCAGGGAGGCCAGCTCCACGCGCGTGTCCACCTGCGGGTGGGGCAGCAGCAGCACCCGGAAGAGCCACTCTTCCAATAGGCCGGGGATCAGGAAGCCGATCATGGCCGCCGTGAGCCACCGCGCCGGGCTCCTATCCCAGGTGGGGCGCAGGAACCGGGAAGAGATGCCGATGGGCAGGGCCACGACGCCATACAGGCAGATGGCGGTGGCCACGGTGACCCAGTCGGCGAGGGAGGGGAGGGAGGAGGTCGCGGCCAGCGTGCGTTCGGCGAGGCGGGACGGCAGCGACAGGAGGGAAGCCATGTCGCACGGGTCGGACGCTGAGGCGCGAGGCGTCCCAGACAGTGAGGGCGCGCCAGGTGTCCGGGAGGATGCATGTTGCCCAGGGTGGAACTATATGCAGTCAGCGAAGGGGGCCGATCGCCCGTATGCTGACTATCCTATCTGCCACTGCCCCTCCGCCAGAAACTCCCTGCATTCAAAAACTGTAGGCCTCCACTCATGCGCCAAAGTCGCGGGCTGCAGCAAGGCACCCGCGCAGTGCCGGACAAAGAGCGAAGGCAGCAAGAGCTGCACAGGGCGCCAGGTGATCCCACGCGCCCGCGGCACGCGCCGCGGACATCCAAGCCGATCTGCGGCATCAGGATCGACAATCTGGGCGCTGACACTTCATACGTGACTTAGAAACCTTGCACAGCAAGCCATTCGCTGTCGATCGCCATTTGCCGGGGTTTTGCCGTTGACGAGCATCATGCAACAAACCTCTCCATTCCCATCCTGCGCCCGCCACAGAGCTGCTGACGCTTCTGTGCGCCTGCCCATCCAACACTCAAACCACTGCAAGGCCAAATGACTTCGTAGGGTTGCCCGGTTCATTTCGTCCCCGCCGCCACCGTCGGCAACTTACTCCAATGCCCGTGGGCAGTCCAGCGCGTTGCTCTCATCTTTCCTGATCTCGCCACCCACAGCCCATCCACACAACGCCAAGGAGTGGGCGAGCAGCGCTAGCTTGCCAGCATGGCGATCTCCGCCAAAATGTTTAAATGCAAACAAGTTGCCTGGCTTAGCCTCATGGTCAGTTCGGCCAGCCCACTGAACCTGCCAGCTGATCACCTACCTCCGATACGCACTCTCCGGTAGTTCACCTCCGGGTTGGTTGCTTTGCAAGGTACAGGGGAAACGCACAAGAGCGCGCCCTTATGTGAGCATGCTGTTTGCTTGCCAATTCGTGGGGGCTCTTTGGCTCCTTCATTCTTTCCCCGTCCCTCGCCTGTGGCGAATCGCCACTCTGAGTGTGAGCGAGTTGGCGCAGGGAATTGTTGTCTTGTTTAGGGGCCTATACATCAGCGTGAAGGCAGCACCCCACCCTCAAGGATTGGCGCCCGGCGGTGCCGCCAATTCCCATGCCATGGTATGTGTGCTTGTGAGCGGCGTGCGCCACAGGCGAATTCGGTCTCTGGGCGCCCAGGGCAGCCTTCGCAGCCTTCACTTTCGTGTTGGCACGGCGCGGCAGGCTGGCGGCTGCCAAAATTTGTGGCAGGTTGGGACACTCGCAATTTTGAAAGCCGCAGGGCTGGATACGATGCGGGATGAATCGGGCATACGGACGACCAGCCCCTTTCGCGGACTGCATAAAGTTCCACCCTGTTGCCCAGGAGGGTGACGCAGGTTGGCGTCAGGCGGAGGAGAGCGCGGATTCTGCTTCGCGAAGCATAACCCATTTTGGACGCATTTTCCCGCGTAAACAGTTTGTTGGAGGAGCAGCAAAGCACCGCGGACATTGCAGACATTCGGCAAATGCCGCCTTGGTAAAGTGGCACAACAGCCAATGAGAAGCGTTCCCGTATAGCACCGCCGGTGCAACAGCACCGACGGATGAAGACGCCCTATGCACAGATGCACATCGACACAATTCCGTGCATAATGCGCTACAGGCCAGGTGTGCGAGATGAGGTCTTGTCTCGACCGATGCTGTGTTGGGATGGCCGCCAGCCCTGCAGTTTTGGTGTGTTCGCATTTGGAGCCTCAAACAGCCCCCACCCACCCATCCACCCACCCACCCACCTCTCTCTGTGCCTTGAACTTGTTGGCCAGGGCAAACATTTTGGAATGTTGCGTGGCAGGCGCTTGGTGGCGTGCTGCGTTGTGGCCATCGCGTGATGTGTCAACAGTGCATTGCAACCGGTTCCTTTGGCGTGCCAGCATCGTGCTTGACGGCACGAATATGGCTGGGGCTGCTGCTGTCCCAGATTCTGGTGCTGCAACAAGGCTTCTATACTTTCGTACTGTGGCACGTGGGTATCTTAGTTTTGAGATTTTTTTTTCTTGATACACTACCACAGAATCGACATTCATACCGGCTTGTACGATGATGTCGACCATGAGGGAACTGCTCAATGCCCACAGTACGGGAATTGCTGCGATCAGGTCCCCTGTTTGCAACTTGAGGAGCGCTCCTGAAGAGACGAGGAGGAAATCACAACTACATTGATCCTTGTCAGCAGGCTTGGTTTTTACGTTTACGTTTACGTTTACGTTTTTATTTGTACGTTTTTATGCGTAAAACGTAAATCTGCAAAAGGGCCTATTTTTATGGCTCCCTGGGACACCCAGGTTACACAATGAAAGTTGCATATTATGGTCAGTCCTCCACCATCTCCACACCTGCAACACAATGCCCACCTCGCCATTGGCAAGGGCGATACTGGCGTTTAACGAAAACTCGTTTTCTGCCCCTTCCAGAGCATCTGGCTGCCATTCTCCGGACTCCGCAAGTCTGTATGTACTGTCCTTATGTACACCGGACAGTTTTTACGTTGTGTTTAAGTATTTTTACGTATTTTTATGCGGCAAAACGTAAAAACTATTTTTACGCATAAAAACGTAAATACGATCAGTTTTACAGCGTAAAATCCAAGCCTGCTTGTCATGGCAGGGGCATGACGGGCCCTATCCTCCCAGCGCGCTCCAAACTGTTTCATTTCAACGTTGAAATTCAAGGTCGAATCGAATCGCGTCGGAAAATCACAGATTCACAAATTGTGGCAAAGACATCTTTGTTGTCCTTTTTTTGAAAGAAACTCTGGTACATTGCCCCGCTTACACAATTAACACTTGGGTAATTCCCAACAGTGAAGAGGATGAATCCTCCAGAGCTGCAGCCGGTACATATACTCACGCCGCACAAGGCATTCGGCGTCCACAAGCTAAGGCGCATTGTTGCGTACAGAGAGTGTTGCAGAATCCGGATCCAGAAGGTGAATAGGAATTTCGACCGACTGTCTTCATCCAAGGGATCAACGCCGTACCGAAACAACCTTGAAACAAGTGCACCTTACCTAGGCGGCATTTGTATTGGTGTACTAGTTCACAATACAACTGGGACAACAGAAGACCTGATAGCACGCAACACACTGCGTCCAACAATAGTATGCTCCTAAGCCCTAAACCTGATCAGGGTCCGCAAGATTGACGTTGTCCATAGGTCCACAGATTGCACAAGATTCGACGTCGCCAAGAAAACTGTGTAAAATGAAGAAATAAACGAATCTGGAATAAAAAATAATAGCAAGATCATGTTGTTTTCGAGGCGAAGAGCATGGTACCGACGCTTCTTCTAATCGCATTGCCATATCGTTTTGAAGGTTTCGGTTCAGGAGACTATGGCAAGAGCATCCATTGACGGGGCCGTTTCTTAGACTCAGCGCAATTACTCAATTCTTCAACAGCATTTGCACCACAATTCAAAACAGCATGGTAGCTGTCCCCTGTCTGGTACTTAGGAACTTCCCGATGTACCTTACCCCCAACGCGACCACCGCTGCGATTATGCACCCCCTAAATATCTGTCCCTGCTTTGTGAATTGCACACCACCCATGCCAATGATTTCGGAAGCACCGCATTCTGAAGTCCGCACAGGCGCGTGGTCCCCCACCGTCTCATCCTACCCCCAGCGCCCCACCGCCGATCCCATTTCCAAACCCCCCCACTGGCTGCGCGCCTACGCGTTTTCGAGGGCAGTCGCGGCGACGGCGTCGGCCTCCGAAGAGGGCAGCGTCGGGCTGTTGGCCGAGATGCGGACGCCCCCCTTGACCTCAGTGAGGGTTCGGGGAAGGTCGCCCAGGGAAGCAAGCAGCGGGTTTGCGTGGATGACGAGGTTGCCGCCCGTCAGGACGCCCACCTTCTGCACCACCAGGCCCTGGAGGGACGTCATTGCGGCGTTGCGCTGCACGAACAGGTCGTTGCCGACGGCCAGCATGCTGTTCAGGCCCTGCGCCGCCGCCGGAGGTCCACAAGAGATCAGGCGCGGGGGCAGTGGGGTGAGACATCGGGGATGTGTACGGCAAAGCACTGCATTGAGAGTGAGCATGAAGATCTGGAATCGTCCTGCCATGCGAACGCTTTCTAACATAGCTCTTCAACGCAGTGGTGAACTGTTGGCAATGACGTACTATTTCACGGAAGCGTAATATGATATACTTGACGTACAATGGTGCAGCTGAATCTGCGTTCTCGTAACTTTCCTTGTCAATCATGCGTCCATGAAAAATCTTTGAGCAGGAAACAGTGATGCACATGCTCGATGAACATCGAAGTGTTCCAACTTCCTGTTGAGAGATCTGCGAAGCGAGGATCTACCAAAGCCTCCCTCGTTGCTTACCTCACAATTCTCAAGAACTGCATTGTCAGAAATCGACACCAGACCTGCTGTGGACTGCACGGCACCTGCAAAGCAACACAAAAAGCAAGGGCGTTCAGTGATCACTGAGTTGGGACTCATGAGTCCCAATTTGAAAAATACACATATTTTGCAGATTGTGATGCTCTGTCACTTTCGCAACTCGGCATGATGAGCATGCGCTGTCAAGGCTTTCCAGTCGGAAAGAACACGGACGACAGCGCAATTTTGCTTGTACAAATATTGTGCTGTCTCATGTTGAAATGTTTATGAAATATACATCCCGTCATATGGCAGAATACAGCATAACTGCATTATGCTGGGCCACACTGTGCAGTGGACAGCATGTGAATTGCCACCTCCTTGCCCTGTTGATTTTATCCTATTATTATGCACAGTTTTGGTAGCAGTGCGTCATAGTGTGTCTCAGCGTGCACTGTAGAACCGACGAGTTTGGCACTGCGATGTGGGCCATGTCCAGCACAGAAGCCAACATACTATTTATTGTACGAGATGCACTGAAAGCATCAACTCACAGATCTCCTTCCTCTATGTTATGAAATGCTTCATTTCATGATGCCATCCCTGTTCTAATGTACAGCGTTAGTGACGTCAGTGCAGTGTACACGTACATGCTGTGAAAAGCAGGACAGTGGGCTTCTTCCTTGAACAAATTGTGCAGTTTGTACACATTCATCATCTATTCTGTGGTATTCCATCGTCGCAATCCGTTTCACATGCAACTGAGGCAATATCAATGCGTACTCGGCGCTAGCCTTCCTGGCGGTTACTCATCTCACCTAATCCAGTTAGATCAACCAGATTTGGGTGTTGGCTTATGATGAGATCCAGCCCAATCGTCTGCACATTCTCCACACCCCGCGTGCTTTCCAGTCCATTGCCCACCAGAACCAAGTCTCCACTTATTGCTTCCAGCCCCTCGAGCCCTGAAAGATCCTTGAGGAGTGGGTTCTCATACAAGTCGATTCCATTGCCTGTCATACACACACAACACCCTGTCGCCCAAATTCTCCAAAATGATGGTACTTCAAAATTTGTAAGCAGCAATTTTGACAGTATTTTTCTATCGCTTCTTCAATTTGATGGTCATTAGATGCAGAGAATTGAACCTTGAACGCAATTCCCAAACCGACAGCAGCCAACATGTTCCCTCATGTCCCTTTGCTGCCACTCGTGCAGGAAAGTAGGCTAAAGTGTCGCACCATTTCAAGGACACTCTCCAACATACAGTTCAGAAAACGGCGCAACCAAAATGCTTGTTGCAGTATGCAATTACCGCAAAGGCACATGTGAATGCTATCATATCAGGAAACGCAATGCTTCGTATTGCCGTTCGATCATGCAGACTACGCCATACTGTGCAATCAGTAAAACAACATCTCAAGTGAAATTCCAACCAGCTGCAGGGCACATCAACATACAGATATTATTATTGTCCTTGGATGTCCTGCACGCCACACAAACTGACAACAAAAGTGAGGGCAGTGGCTGGACAGGACCTCACCAAGGGTCGTCAGTGTCCGCAAGAATGACAGGCTGGTCAGGTTCTGCATGTTCTGGATCAAAATACTGTTCCAAATGGCGTTGACGTTTGAAAGGGCAGATAGGTCATCCAGCGAGGGGTTGCCCTTCAGAAGCAGATCAAATCCGATTGTTTCAACGTTCTGCAGAGGAAACACAGATGCCACATTGCCGTGAGAACTTCCATCTTACTTGGGCTGCGAAGACGCACAATATAACAGCTAAAACTCTCCATCGTGCAATGGCTGGCTGCTGAGTTGCTGGAATCTAAACGTTGTTCTCAGATATTTCCGTGACGTCTAATTCAGAAACCCTTTTTGTCTCCACTTTCATGAGGGCAACAGAACTGTGCATACACAGCTGCTGGAAAACTTGCTTTCGATTCCACAGGCATGTGTACTAATATAGACACATGCGATGCTACAGCAGGATTCTCTCAGCGCATGCAAACAAGCTGATTTGTGCAACATATTAAGCGAATCAGATTGTTGCACGCGGTGAAAAAATATATACTTCGCTGGGGTGTATCCCAGGAAGGATACGCAGTTTGGGATGATAATCTGACCTACTCCGTAATACGAGTATACACCATATCAACACATAGATAAAGGCAGATAAATAGATACTGGTAAAAATTACTAAAACTGTCATGGCCACCGTCATTGGTAATCAACGCACTATTTCCAGAGGGCCAGTATGAATTTGTGAATTATATTGTCCCTCTTGTTCTTTCCACGGGCCGTCAATACCTGTATGCGTCGTACAATTCACACACAAAATCGAATTTAAATCCCTGGATTCGCAGCAACAGCTGGGTCTAATCTGCTTTGGCAAATGCTTTCAATGAAAAATACTTTTTTGGCGGATTTCCTAACGTTCAAGTGCGTGCTCAGTGCCCATGCACACGTGTGGCAAGGTTGCATGCCACCCATAAGGCACGTGTTGCTTTCGAGATGTGCCACAAATTCGCATGAGCCCACCAGCACAAACGCAAGACTGGGGATAGTTGCCAACAGCACATATATATTCATGATCCACATGTAAATTCATTATTCAATTCACCGTGCATTTCTGGAACAAGTTTCCCAGCAGATATGGCATGTACGCAGACAACAGTGTCCAAGCCTGGGCAGCTGTACTTTGCAGATCAATGATAACAGCTGTTTGTGACTGCCTGAAATAATTAAGGCAACGATAACGATTCATTCGACTTCCATTATCTGAAAAACATGCACCGACCTCCAGTCCTGACAGATCCATCAAGGCCCAGTTGTTGTCAATGTACAAGGTCTTCTTGATCTCAGTGATTGGGCCAATGCCTTGCAGATTTTGAAGCATTCCATTGTTCCATATCAACAGGTCACCACCGATCTGTGACAGGCTGATGAACCCCCCAAAATTGATGATGTTCTCCATGTTGACGATATTCAAGGAACCTCCGATCACCTGCACATATGTGTTGCAAGGGCAAATCCCCAATGAACCCATTGCATCGAACCCAAAGGCAACATCTCCATTTCGTTTTATGGGCGCGCTCGTGGTATCCACTCACAGCCAAAACAACCTAATCTTGGAAGACAGATATTCATAACGGTGTGTGTGAGTTCTCATTCCAGTAAAACTTTCCATCCAAGCACGTTGGACCTGATTATTCGCACCATTCAAAACCAAAAAATTAAGTGATCAACACACCACAAAGTGCGCCATGGCAGGCAAGATGATTTCTGGTGCATCACTTCAGGACATGAGCGTCAGTATCTAGGATATGGCGTTCTTATATCCTGCACCGAATATTCTGAATTTTGGTTGTTGCATGGGCCCAACATCCCAGATATGCACATGCAGTCCTGGATATGGACACTCCATATCAACGATATGGCGGCAAGATATGGCCATGATATTCAGGATATGAGCACCCATGTGCTGTACATAGCCTCTTCCTGGATACTGATGTCCAAGATATGGTGCCCATATCAAGCATATGACCATCTCCTGAATATGCATCCGTACATATCAAGGACATGTAACCTTCTTCCTGAAAAACAGTGACGACATTTGGTGCCAAGCGATTTACTAATGTAGGGAGCATGCCCGTTGGCTCAACGCACTTCAGTAATTGTCTCAGGTGGACAAAAAAAGAGGCAACGCACTTGCCCCATTGTACCATGCCTAGGCCAGCACACGCAAATCAAGAGCAATAGCAACTGCACTTCTTTATCCCCAATATATTGGTCATGTGCAGGAATAGGGATGCAGCGTGAGGCCCAAAATGGTAAATCAAGAAACACAACAAAGCAAGAAACAGGGTAACGCATCAGGTGCAACATCGCTAGCAAGAAAAGGACCAAATCAGGCTTGGTTTTTACGCGTAAAAACAGTTTTTACGTTTTTACGCGTAAAAATACGTAAATACAACGTAAAAACTGCCCGGTGTACATAAGGACAGTACATACAGACTTACGGAGTCAGGAGAGTGGCAGCCAGACGCCCTGGAAGGGGCAGAAAACGAGTTTTTGCTAAACACCATCATCGCCTTTGCCAAAGGCGAGGTGGAGACTGTGTTGGAGGTGCTGGATATGGCGGAGGACTGATCATTGTACGCAACTTTCATCGTGTAATCTGGGCGTTTCAGGTAGCCGTAAAAACGTAAAAATAGCCGTAAAAATAGGCCCTTTTGCAAATTTACGTTTTTACGCGTAAAAACGTAAAAGTAAAAACGTAAACGTAAAC